ATTGTATTAAAATGTTTAATTTATCATATTAACAGCTATTTTACTTATTCCAAAATTTTAAATTTTGAGCAAGTTATGAGCATTTTTAAATTGTAATATTTTACAATTTCGCTTCAAAATTAAAATACCGTAAATATACCACGAGAAAATAGAGATATAATGTAGTTCTACAGCACGTGGATAAAAATTCTTATAAAGAGTCTGTATTGTCTCTGTAATACATTGCATGCCAGTGAGATTGAATTTTAAAAATTCAAACGAACTGTTTTTATCATAAAATTATTTTGTTTGAAAAATTTGAGTTGGCTTGCACTTTGCACTCGGTTTGTGTTAAAATCCTTTTGGACCTAAATAATATACATGACCTGCGGTTCTCAACTCACTGTGGGAACGAAATAAGTGTAATTTCGATTTTATATTTCATACTTACAAGTGTAGTACACCCATGAACCTATGAAGCGACCTCCTGTCAATTTCAAGTAAATTAAATAATTAGTTTAAGGGCATGTATTATCTTATTATATTATTGTTTAAAAAAACGGATCCATAAAATATTCATACAAATAAAAATTGATCCTATCGAAGAGTCACCCTAAAGCTGCACAGGAATATAAATGTATAAATTTACGATTTGATAATAATACTTGTACAAATATAAAACTATGTTAATAAGAAAGAAAACTAAAAAAACGAAAAACCATTTTTTCCGCAGCTGCGAGTGTACAGTATTGCATGAAAATCACCTGACCCCAATTTCAGTGGGGTTTAGTCTTATTGTGTATGGGTTTCTCGACACAAAAAACTCCTTTCTACCTCAGTTTTTTAAAAACTTTATTACAGCGACTTTGGTAGGTATATTGGGTTACCGAATTTATTCATTTTTTTTATATGTATATATACTCTCAACGTTATTTAAAAATGTAAGAGTTTATTTGTATATAAGTTCATTTATTGGTTATTCAAAACAATTTAAAAGTTAAATTATTCATTCGCATTAAATAAATATATTATTATTCATTGAATTCTGAATTTTCGAATATTAATCAAAATTAAAAATGTTAATACCTTTAATCTTTATAGTTTAATCTGTATAGACTTAATTTATATGAAAAATGATTAACTCTGGTCTTCGAATAGGTGACTGATATATTTTACAATTACTCCAATTTACGAGTGAACATTATAACGCAAACAGTAATCCTGAAAAAATTAACAAGACCGCGGTGTACCTAAATAGCCTATTCATTACGCCGTGTGAACTTAATTTAGATTACCGAAATACATAATCATATCATTATCTATATTTCTGACGAGATGCTGAAAAAAAAAATGTTTCGCTATCTTTCACCGGTACGTGTTGTAAACGTACAGTTAATAAACGATTAAATAATACTATGTTATTGTATTGATTTAATTTTTGGGTATTCAAAACATCCATCGTCAATATTACTATACGCATTGGAATAATATATTATTACTGCGGCATATTATTATTGAATTTAAAACATGACATTACAATTTCCTCTCAATTATTCACGTCTTACGATGTAATCATGCAAACGTATTAAAGTCCCGACGGAATCTTTTTTCGACGTTATATCGTGACGTAGGTATATTACACCCATCTGTGTTAAATTATTTCTCAGAGCTGCTATTATCTCAGCAATTATACAAATACGCCAGTGCCACTGCACGCGTTACGCAGCCTGCGACCTGTATCACGACCCGCGGACATGCGATCTCCGACGCACGAAATAAACGATCGTAAACACATTAGGCATGTTATGAGTCGTTATAGTATCGTATATTCTCGTTTAATACAATGTGGATATAATCAGTAGTATATAATAAGTATTATAATATATAGGCAGCACATGTATACGATATGTATGATGAATTTTCTCGATTTGTTTTCTTAATATAATATTATAATATGCAATCCACCCATCGGGTCGTTGATCGTAAATTACGTATAATAATATATATTACAAGTGCGGTAGCCGAATTAATTTCAAGCCGCTGAACAGTATTTTCGTTTAATTATAACGTAGGTATTAGGTAGGTATACGAGGACCAAAAGCACATTTATAATTTATTTTAAAACGGAATTACGTGTTAGGAATATTACAAAATTATTTGCCACCTCCCAGTATTATTCGTACAAGTGCAGTGTATTATTATGTATCAAACGACCGAGAGCATATACAACATCAATACATATAAAATATAAATGTACCAATTTAAAATTATAATATTATTGTAGTCGTGTTGTACCTTTGCAACTATAGTCGATTTAATAGAGGTCGTCCTCAAAGACTATACTATCAAATACGTTTAGAAGAATAATTCGCAATTAGTTGGTTATAATGTTCTCTTTACAATTTAGTTTTAAATTTATTTTTATGGTTTTTCGAGGCGTTTTGAATTTATTAGTTTTTTGTTTTATGTTAATGACATTTTTTTCTCGGTAATAGGAGCTTAAAAACTTTATACAATGTTCTCCATTAGTTTTTATTGTAGCAAATAAAATGGAAAATTTGAAACATTTTTTTTACAAGCTTTTGATGTTTGAATTGGACAAGATTAATACAAATCATAAAAATTTGTAAATTATTTTTTTGTTCAAATTCATAGAATTTGATATTTTAATAACTAAAGCTTCTAATTTAAACAATTCGCTTTTTTGATGTTTATAAACTGAAATTTAAAAATAAAATTCTTTAGGCACAATAATTTTCTAAGAGCGTTTGAAAATCAAATCTTAACAAAATATAATAAAAATACAAAAAAATACCAATGAAAAATTACGATTTCAGACCCATTTGTATTTTCTAAGAACCTCGTAGAAGAAAAGTCATATTTACAGCCTTTCAGGGGCTATTTACAAAAAACCCTAATTTAGTTACTATAGTAATATATTTTTTTAAATCATGTATTGATAGAACCCTTTAGGTCAGAGTTTTTTTGCTTAATCATACCAGTAGTACAGGTACTAATTTAGGACCAGTACCTACCTACTTTTTGAAGAGACGTAGAAGATTAGGTGTATTACACCTCTCCTTCTATCTTTTAAGTCAAGTGGCTTTAGATTTATTTAACAAATCCTATCCAGTTAAAAAGTAGTTGGTTGGCCATTCTTGTTACACAAACTGGTCTAGCAAACCCGGTTATTATTGGACTGGTATAAATAACATTTTCTAAGTTATATTTTACAGGTCTCATAAACTTATGACCTGCGTTCATAAGCTACACAATTGAACACAATGCAGCAATGTATATTATATAGACAGATATTTTAGTGTGTCAGAAATAGATATGAAATAATACTGTACCTGAGTAATCCGTTTCTTGAGGGTAGTATTAAAGATCACGGGATAGAGGAGTACTAGTTGAACGGTACAATTTATTAATATACGAACCAAATATTATAATTTATTTATGATAGCTAGGTAATATTATAGTAATTTTATAACTATATTAAATTAATTAAAAATATTATGTCAAGCGTATAGAGTTGGTGGTTATTATTCTCTACATGGCGATCAGAACCCGACTACTGACTATAATGTAAATAATATTGTACGTACACAGTCAACGTTCCGGTGTTCTGTTAACCTAAGCAAATTTACCGAGTGCGACGTATTAAATGACGAGTCAGTAATCTGTACATCATCACAGTCCTTGGCGGTGCCTGAGAGATCTGGCGATTTGAATGGTGTCGACCGTTGGAGTTTTGAGTGAAACTTATTGCAGTTACTTAAACATTATTTTTCTTCAAAAAATGCCTTTACCAGTGGGCGCTTCTGCACCTTCACCAATTTTATACGTTTGTAAGTTATAGCATGATGACCACTGAACAATCATTAATTAATAAACTAATATATCGGGTGCAATAATCCGAATAGACTGATTTCTCCAGCTTGTACAACATAGTTTTATATTTAAATCAATTGTTTTCCTATTTAATATACATTTACCCACGGGTTCCTCTGAAAGTCTGAACATAGTATCAATACAGCGATAGGTAGGTACGTTTAGTTTATTTTAATTATTTACACGATAATAATTAAACCATCCAGTGTTGTCAAGTATATAATATACACATATAGCTATCAACTACATAAGGTAAAATTAAATAATAATAAGACGATTCATTTGTCAAAAAACAGTTAGTTTTTCATCCTTATGTATCTATACTAGACACTATTATATAGTTGTCCCACCCAATTGTTTTAATACAGACTATATAAATTAACAAAAATATTTTTTTTTTTTCGTACGCAGAAAAATATTCATGTGTGAGCTACCCTTTAGCTACCTATAAGGATTGAAAAAATAAACTATAAACATCCTCCAGCTCTCTAGGAATTCTATTGCTATAACTTTTATTGAAAACGGTCCAGTAACTTTAAGTCTGTTAACTTAGGATAAATCGACATCCATTCTTAGGTGTATCATCCAACGTTGTCCGTGTAAATTATATTTAAACAATGATCATGTGATGAGATAAACGATTTTTACCCCTCCAATTGTGTGCAAGTCACGCTACAGATTACAAGACAACCTGAACCATTAAACGAGTTAGAAGTAATTTAAAGCAAATGTAGACAGATGGATAATTAATCCTTATAGTATTATTATACTTTCATAAGAAATTTAAAACACAAACTACACAATAGGTGCTTACCACCACTAAGAGTATCTATTGCCATATACTAGTATAATGAATGTCCTGGAAGTTGGTCTTCGACATTATCCGATCGGTGTAAAAACTATTCTAATATTTTGTAAATCAATTGCAAATAATTAACGGTTGGTAATTAGTTTTTGTAATCAAATATTTTGTTTTCAGGTTAATTGTATTGGACACAATGGGGTCATTGGGGGCGGCTAATTGAATTTGACCCTCTCTAAATGGTTTTTGCTTATAAATATTGTATTGGCATTTGGAAAATTCTAAAAACTATTTTACAATTAATCACTCGATGCTAATTATATTTAACACTAGTAAATTAGGTACTATGCTATATAATAGTTAAAATATGTTCAATCTTATCGATAATCGATGAAAAATAATAACACCTACGTAGTAGGTATAATACGTACGTAACTGTAGTTATAGTATTAATTGTACTTAGCAAACTATTTTTACCTACCCATTCGTCCAAAACTTTAGGTGGTTCAAAAATGCACCTTACTGTGCGTACTCTCGACGCCACTGCGTGTATGCGTGTATAGTACACTGTGTACACTACGATGGCGATGTCGATTTTGATAGATGAGATGATAAAATCATGTGTTTCAGTGGGTGTGGTTTCTTAGCAACACGTTGGGTCAATGACTGAAATCGTATTATATAACATGGTATAGTGGCTGGTACCCTCGACGCACATGTCCCGTCCGCTTTATTACAATAATACACATTGCGCCTGATAGTGGCGTCGCTAACGTAGACAATAGCACAGACTTGAGTCGGTAAAATGTCCAACTCTGAGGTGCACACAGAACCGAAACAGCCTAATAACAACAACAACAGTAGTAATAATAAAAATAATAATGTTAAACCAGCACAGCAACAGCAGCAGCAGGAGAGGAGGAAGAATAAAAAGATAGACAAGGTACAATGTGACGGCAGACTGTGAGTAAAAAAAGAAAAATATTGTGAACTTCATGCTAAATAACGAATAGAGATTTTATTTTTAACCATTATTTTCATTGTATACCTTAGTTTTCTTTTTTCATCACAGGAAAATTATAATAAACAGAGAAAATGAATTGCGGGCCAGATGGCCGGAACGGTGGGGGTTTTATTCGAAAAATAACGTGGAAAAAGTAAGTGTTCTGCAGCCTACCTATGGTTTCATTAATTTATGTTTTGATTTGTATTTTAGATTTTGAATAGATTGGTTTTGTAATTTTTGTGTCTAAAAACACTTAATATAGGTAACAGAAAAAGTGCTTCGATTTCTACTTCATCCTCTTTTCCGGAAGGAAGGATTATAGTTGAAATCAGTAATTTTTCCCTCAAAACCAGTTTTCGACAAATTCGATTTCCTTATTTTGTTTTGATTCAAAAACGAAAACCCCAGATACAAATTTTCACGAAATGTTTGTATAAGTTTTATCTGCAAAAATGACCAGAAGAATGCAGGATTTTTATTTAAGGTTATGTAATTATACGAAAATATCGAACCTACACACACCAATTTGGGATTCAGTAAAACTAAGGTAAATCCTAACACGTCACATTCACACTAAAGTTGCTCCATGTCAAAACGTCACTATTTAAAGAATCCCGATGGCTTCTCTATCCCAAACAGTTAAGTCCCTAGAACTTTTCACACATCGTCGCCTAACCTGGTCCCAACGCATTAGCAGCTTCGCAAGCTAATAAACACTATTTTAAATAAAAATACATATACAAATGTCAACATAAAATTATTAATGCACAAAATCTTCTTAAAGCGTATATGATGGACCTCGGGTTGTCAGCTTTGGGGAAGTACTAAAAATCTGACGTTAATAAAATGCAAACCTTTCAAAATATTACCCTCAGAAAAAATACTAATGCTCCACTATAAAACACAATTCTAACCAAACACTCATAGATCAAAGAACAATGCCAGTACACGACAAAGTTAAATTATTGTTACATACAATACTCTACAATAATTCCCTCCTTTCCATACCGAGAAATCCTACAAGACGTTATTAAAGCTCAAAATTGGTCCCGCGATCATCTTAATGGCTAAAATAATATTATGAGTCAGGTCACTATATAACTATTTCAAAATATAATGTCACGAAAAGGTGAGTTACATAAAAAGTTTTACTTGTATATTTTTTACCATTTTCACATTATTTTATATTATGGTTTTCCACAGAATAGGTTATAAATTCCAAATAGGAACAAATAATAATAATAATAATGAATAAAAAAAAAAGTTAGCAAGTATAAGTAATCGCTATGCTGTCCTGAAGTAGTAGGATTCGAGTGTTCTTCGTCATTCAGTACGTCACTATGATTATTGTTTTTTTAAAACAGGTCCGAGCAGAAGCGGTCCGTCAACTTGTTCATTTTTCAAAGAAATTTAAGTAAACAATTAAATTAAATCATATTAAATTAAAGCATTCATAATATACAATCCATATATACTTTTTTTTTTTTTGCTAAAATATCTATAATACGTAGTAAACTAGTAAGTACTATTATGTCTTCAGCGTTCAATTTTATGTCAATTTGATGCGTTCCTGTAAGGTTAATAATAATTTGACTGGGATTTCGATGGGCTTCATTGGGCGTTTTATAAAATACATGTTTCATGTATTTTTATGAATCAGAATAAAAAAATTTGATTTGTATTTATTATCATTTGATCTTCTTGATTTAGATAAATATTTTTACCATCGAAAAATTGTTCTTACAAGCAGGTTTACAGATTGGCTATTTTGAAAGTTTCCAAAAAAATTTAAATCAAAAGAATTTTAAAATAACGATTATAATAAAAGTTATAAGGTAGCCAATTCTTTCTGTTTCACGCTACTTAATTTAGGAATAATTTATACGGATACCTAACTAATTACATGTCCAATACATTTACCTTTTTGTTTTTAGAGACTCGGTTTTGAGCACTTTAAAATGATTAACGACTATGGGTCGAAACGATCTATGTAATCATTATTTTAAAAGTTGTTATTTCTGTTTAATACTAGTATATAGGCACTTACACATTATAATACCTATAATCTATATAGTTAATTACTAAGCTCAAGACACGCTATACCAGAGAATCCCAAAATGTGTTCCGCGGGACAATGTCAAGGATTCTTCCAGATGTATTTGAATATTGAGAAAATTATTTTATATTAAACTTGGAAAAAAAGTTCAGATGAATAATAGTTACTAGTTTAATATATTGTTATGAAATATTCATTTTACAGACATTGGGGTGCCTTGGTCGTAAACGTTTGGAAACCGCTGCTCTATACAACAAACATAAATAAAAATTCACCCAAATGATCGCTTAATATTTTGCCCAGATGATAATATATCCTCATGATTTTGGATCATTTACCCAAATGAATGACCCCCATTTATACAATACCCACTCAATTTATAATCGACTTTTAATGCCATTTAAAATATTTCATTGACATAAAAATAATAGTTAATAATACCTTAAAATTTAGGTATGTACCTATAACATTTTCCAAGTAATTGTATGTATGAATACATGCATAATAATTATAATTCTTTCTTAACTATTTGTGCGTAGGTATCTACAGGTCGATTATGAATCATATGAAACATACCTACTAAGTTAATGATAGCAATTAGCAAGTAAGACTCAATCGAGTCAACTGTCACTATGAACTAGTCACTGGAAACTATAATTACAGACATTTTTTGAGAAATACAACATATTAGATGATGTATCATTTTTTGTCACCAGCTAATTGTTAAATATTTGTAGCTGTGGAGCGAACATGCTGTCAATTTAGGATTACCAGAAAATTTTATCGATCTCAGAAGACAAAAACTACGTAAACAAGATAGAATTCAACCGTTGATCGACGCGGTACCATCACCGACGTGCATTCCCCTAACGTCGTCAGGTGATTTTTTCAATTCCCATATAATATGATATTTTTTAACGACTGATTACAGGTTTTGTGGGATGGCGTTCCTCGCAAAGAATTTGTAATTTGGAAATGTTTGGCAGGACTTTTGATTACAATAAATTAGATACTCGGATGTTGAAACCAGACAACGAGCCAGATCAAAAACTACAGAGATTTATAATTCTAGGATAAATATTTGTAAGAAATTAATTTTATGATAAAGCTTGTATTACATTTTCAAATCTAAGATATAAAAAGAAAATTTTTTATTAATTACTAACTCAAAATAATTTGGAAATTTTCACGATTTCAGTCAAAATTCTAACTTCAGACGGTCATAGAAAAAATATAGTGTAACTACGATAAACTTTTTTTTAAATTTCCACTAACAACTTATGAGGAACCTTGTATTACAAATAAAAACCGAAAATGTCATAATATTAGGCATATTATGACATTTTCTAGTATGTAGTATAATAATATGTCAAAATATATTGAAAATATATTGAAAATTGTAAGGCGTATATATAATGCTATGTGTACACTCATGTACAGACACAAAAAATAAAAAATAAAAATAACAAAAAACAAATATTATTGTCAAATCAATACATTCATTGTTCCGCTCAAAAACTAAAATATTTTTGTATTTTTATTTTTGTGTATTTACAGCTGGTTACTTTCCTAGATGAGCAGGAATTCACTTCAACTGCAACCAGTTCTTCTAGATTTAAAAATCAAAAAACACCAAGAACTTTACAACAAATACCAAATATTAAACATGTTGGAAATAATATAATAAAAATAAACATGCAAACATAATATAAAAAAAATTGTAGCCTATATAGTATATACTGCATGTACTCGTGTCCTCTTGTTCTTGAAAGCTTTGGGCTAAGTACTCTAGTCACAGATCTTGGGGGAACAACCAACCTGAATTTTTTGTGAACAAACTAAGAGCAACTTGATGCTCCTTAACCCTTTCACTGCTGAATTTGAAATATTTTCCAATATAATGTACTGTGTGGGGATAACATTTATTCTTTTATACATTGAACAATATTTCTCTTACAACAGAGATTTAATAGAAAGACCACTCCCGTAAAATGTTTAGATAAGTTTGGTATTAGCGCTCATGATGATCGTCTTAATTACAATACAATCGATATTACTGCTACAAATCAATATTAATACTATATCAATATAAATGTTATCAAAATGGTATTTTGAATACTTGTACTGAATTAAATAAAGTAATATATTCAATTCATTATGTCAATAAATATTTATTTTGTTATACAATTTAAAATGTAAGTATAAAACAATTACTTGCATAGGGTAAAGCATGCAGCTATTAGCACCTAGTAATTTTGTAATAAATAATGTTTTATTATGATTTATAGGGATATTTTTTTAATTATACGAGGTTAAGAAAATATTCATTCAAACAATAAGTAGCAGAAAGTTTGAAATGCAAGTATGACAAATTTCAGTTAATTGCTTCACCCATTGACATAAGCTCTACACATACCCGAGGTTATAATATTATCATTACTGTATGGGATTGACACTAGAGTAGTATGAAGTTGAACATTACAATCAGTTTCCCCAACAATAGATTCAATAGGTATTTCATTAAAAAAAATTCTTATAAATTATCCAAGACTCCATTGCAGTTGTCATCTTCACAATTCCCACCAACGGAATGACTAGTTGTAAGATTATAAATGACAAAAGCTTTAAAAGAAGATAGTAAGTTGCAGGATTGGGTTAATATTTTTCATTACATGGCTTCTTATTGAGACCGAGAACTACCCAAAAGTTTTCTATTGGGCGGGTCCTGGTTGAAATTTCTAAGTAAAACATACTAGAAACTATCTTTCAGTAGTCATTTACAAATTAACTGCATTCCTTTATATAGATAGTTCTGATCCAGTTTGAAACTGATCATAATTCATGTTACTTAGAACTTCAAGAGCTTTTGGCCAAAACTTAAAATAAGGTGAGTTTAATGTTACCGTACTACACAGCTCTTTATCTTGGATAAGTCCTATAACATATCCGTTTGCACTATCCAAAAGCTTGTCAATGAATAGACATTTCTAGCCAGTATCCTGTACCCCAAAATTGAGGCCTTTGTATACTATAATAATTAGTAAATTGTGTAAGAAATAAGTACAGTAAATAATATTTAAGTTGTTCAAATAAACGTACAAAAGTTAAAATTAATATTGTTTAATGTTTTTTAAATGGCTTAAATTATATATAGCATACCGATGAAGTTATGTGAAGTGTTAGTCATTATAGCCATTTTTTTCATGATTGCTCAACACACCGACTGAATGGTTGGGCTGCAATTGACATCTTTATTTTTTTCTGGTTAAACATGAGTCACAGAGCTTAGGTACAAGACATTCTTTTTCTGTACTTTATTCTTTATCAAATTCATAAAATCGAGCGATGATTCCACGGCGTTTTACACTGTTTATTTTCATATAGGAAATTTTAGTCTTTAGTTAAAAGATTATTTCTAAGAACTTTAAGCAAATGTGGAACATCAAAGAGTGGAATTATTTCTTGACTTCTAATTTTAAAACCAAATACATCATTTGTTCCTCTATTTTAAGATTAGTACCTAGTTTCTCTAGTTTATTTTATTAACCGGTTGATAGGAGCAACATTGAATGGAGCTAACATCTTTTAGTATAATTGATAAAACTGTTTGTGTTACTATTGGTAAGATAGAAAGCCACTAGATGTTTAAACATTTTTCAGAGTCCTCTAACCATAAAAACAAGTGCTGTATCAGAAATGTTTGGTAAACAATTATTGTTAGGTCTTCAAATCCAATTAGTTTTCCATTTCTTCTTTAAACTGCAATTATGAAGATACTGAGATTTCATCAAATATTACCGAACAAAAATGATCTAGTTTATTTTTCAATTTCTCTACTGCAGTTTTTAAATAATAAAATACTATGATTTTATTAATTTATTTATCAAACGGAATTTTTCTAAATCTGTGATTCATTTCCGAGAAGAAAGACTTTTGAAAGTGTTTCACACATTTTTCCACTTTGTTTGAACAAAGACAATGTAAGCATTCTTTCATCTACAGTTAAATGTCTTCAAAAAGGATTCTGAGATTGCATTTGATTTTGAGATTCAATGAATTATCTAGTGAACTGATTTAGTCCACACAACGACTTCTTATTGATATTTATAAATTTATCAGCCATTTTAATCGAGTTCTAGCTTCTGTGTATTGCTTGTATATTATATGTGATTAAATTTTTTTATCTATACATTTTGATCTCTACCAACACACATTCAACTTAGTTTTTTTTCTGCCGTGTTTAGATTTAGACAATGAAATACCTCCACTGATAACTAAAAACAAAATATGATTAATAATAATACAACATTCAACACATTTGTGATAGCTAGTATTCAAAACTGAAACATTTCTGAGTTCATCAGACACACTCGTGTTTATATGTATTGCACTTTCACTTATTCCGACTGAAAAATCACTACTTTCATCAATACTGACGTCCATGGCCATAGAATCTTCAAGATTGTCTACCGTATGAAGTTGTAAAGTTATGTGTATTGGTTATGTCCTCTTTAATTATACCTAAATATGAATTCAAGTTCAATTAATAATGTGCAGTATCAAAAAAAAACAAGCAAGAATTTATAAAATATCAACAGTAAAATGTATACCAAATTATAATATCTTAAATTCTCAACCAAGCATGTTTTAAGTGTCATGATTATGCAATAAAAATGTTTTAAGTAACATATTCGCTCTTATGTTTCAATAAACAAAATTAATATATAACCTTTTCGCTTAGTTAAACTACTCTACACCTTTGGTAGTTTAATATCACATACTACATTTTTTTTTAATAACTCATGCTAACCAAGGTTAAGCAATATTCAAACAAAAACATTTAGTATCTAATTATAGGTTAGGATAGGGTATGTTCATACATAATATATATAATAGGTACATTATTTACAACAAATTTAGGTAAAAAGAAAGTTAAATCTCATCTATAGTTGGATAAATTTTCTTAGATTTGATAAACTGTCAAACTATTGAAATGTAATTTCAACTTTCTGATACAACCAATACTTATTTTCACTAATTTGATTAAAACTGATGTCAAGAATTTGGTATATACAGCAAATCTTAAGTTATAGGTTTAACTAAGAACATTTAAGCTGGCATAATTATTATATTATGTCTATAGAACATATAAAAAAAAAACTATCACTAGGAAACAAATATTGTAAGTTTCAACATATAAAATTAAAATAATGCATTTACCAGGTAAATTCAGAGGTAGTACTGAATTAGTAATTATTAATTAACTTTTTTAAATCCAAAACTTCGCAACTTTATTTAAAATGCGAGACCTTGCTTGTGCTTAGAAATCTTTAATTGTGTTGATAATTGATAATCGTAGTGATAACTGATAAGACCCAATCACAGAGACATATATATTCACCTTGCACGGACCATAGAACAATATTACAAAATAAATATTATGCATAATATCTGTGAATAATGGTGAATCTATTACTCAATGACTATATTATGACATCTATACTATTGGTGACCAAGTACGGTCCGTGATAATTTATTAACCAGCCCCCAAAGAATTAAAATTAAATCAAAATTGAAACAAAAAAATATGTTAAAAAGTAACATTTGTAAAGTTTAATATAAATGAATATTTCACATTTCTCATCGTCTAAATAATAGACTAAACATTTATCAGTAATCAGTAGGTTTACCTTTATTAAGAGCTAATTATCTAATGGTGTGTGTAGCTTGGCTTAAGATCAATAAAAAAAAAATCTATAGGTATTAAGATGTGACAACAATAAAATATGATATTCAATTGAAGGAAAAAGTTTAAATTCTTGATCGGCGAAAATTGTTTTTTCTTATGGCTCTCAGTAAAAAATGTTGGTCTATACCAGCGATTCTCAAACTGTGTTACTCGTACCCCTTGGGGATACTAGAAATATTCTAAGGGGTACGAGTCTGGCCAACAAACCAACAAGGAAAAAATTCTTTAAGTCTTTAAATTTTTTTATATACATTTTAGTTTAGTAACTAAGAAGGTTATACTCAAAAAAATCTATTGATAAAAAGGGGTACAGTGTTTATAAGAGTTTAAGAATCCCTGTCTATTCTATAATATCATAATAGTCTAAGGCCCCGATTTTTGAATTTTGTCATTGTCTTATTGTTATTTGTAATTTGTCAACTATCTTTGACTTGAGTACGAGTAAGTTATATTTTTAGAATAGAACTAATTACCATAACGTTACAAAACCCATACCAGAATATCAGATAACTAGATAGTAAATAAGACCTATTAACTAAATATAACATACCTTATGAAATGTAAATAATCATGTTCCTTTCTATTTTCCATTTTGGTTAATCGTCAGTCGCGACTCCCCGAATGATGTTTTGTACTTTTATGGTTATTCGGATGATCGTTTTTCGAAATATAAAAGAACGCCGCGGCGTTATCCTTTAACAGTTTAATCTAATGATTACCTATATTTTAAATAATTAATAAATGTTTATCATACATAGTTATTTATAGCAATCACATATTTAATTTAACAATAGATTATTTATCATCAAAGTATATTAATAATGTATATTATTGTTCATTTTTTTGTATTTTTAAGGAAGTATATCACTATTTAGTATTTACTATTAATATTATTTATCAGGGTGTTGAGCATAAAATACATCTATTTTGTCATGGTGTTGAGTATTTAGATGTGACTGTAAATACTGCCACAGGCAGTAAATCAGTATTAAAAGACACCTTTAACGGCTATAACATATTTATTATTTATTTACACATTACTCAAACTGTCCTGTTTGACTCCATATTTAATATTTGACAAAAATGTTTTTATTTAATACTTCAAAATTCAGTGTGTGATACTGTGATGTTCAAATACCTGAACATGTACCTTTACTTACCATAGGTTTGTGCTTTGTGATTCTGCGTGAAAAAAATGTTGAGTCTGCAAATCAGTGAGTGGTTTCCAATGTTTCCATAGTGTAACAAAAACTGAAATGACGCTATTGCCAAAAGTAAGTGAATCCAGTTTTTAATTACAGAATTTGATTCTTAGAAATCAAATGGAACAATATACATCAACAATGTTCATACTTCATAGGTACCTACTTGATATAGCTGCATCAGAATTAAGTGATGGAAATACAATGCAATTTTACTATTGCCACCGTTCTTACATTTTCGAAAGACAAGGAAACAATATTATGGAAATAAAATCCATGGGCACCTAGTAATAAAATTGATCGGCTTTCGTTGCTACAAGTTACAATTTCCTAATTTTATGGATGAATATCCACATCATTTTGGAAAACTCATTGTGGACATGCATTAGAAATTGGTCAAATTCAGTTGGATGCGATGAGACGAGATCATTTATTGCTGGTAAGTCCTACTTTTTATTTTTAGTGTAATTCAACAAAGAGTTAAATATATGACTCAAATATTATATTCTACCAGTTAATTCAATTATGGTTTTAATTGATACCTACTACCTGTATATTTTTAAACCATAACGTAACTTAATGTATATGTATATGTGTAATATTTATTTAATATCGTATAACAAAATTGTATAATTGTTTTGAGGAAAGCTGAAGCTAAAGGAGGGTGTTACTTTTAATCGTATATTAGAAGCTATTCGTGAGGCCAGGTATATTTTACTATACTTATGAAATTACGTTTTCAAAATAGTTGGAATAATTTTAAGGTATTACATGTTCATACGAATAGACAATACTACTAGATTCTTATATCTAGTAGCATTTTACCATTTTTATTATAAAGTTGACAGATTGTCCCCGCTTAGAATCATTTTTCATAATATACAAAGAGATAAGGGCTAAACGATTAGTAATTGAAAAGCCCCCAGGCCCCAGAATAGGTTAAAGGTTAAACCACGAACAATAATATTTAAACTACTATTGCAAAACAGGCCCTAAGATTTTATGTTATAGTATCCCAGTAACCATTTATACGGGTATACAAGGTATAACATATTTTAAACCTACGTATATTATACGTTCATATAGTTTAAGAATAGTTTAATTGTGGTATATTTTTGGATTAAAAGACAGATATTTCAAGGATATTACACGTTTAATAAACATTAACTTTATACGTTTATTGATCGTATAATCTACGTATAAAATTAGTTTAGATACAAATATTTACCACGTATATTTTCAGTGTAAAACTAGTATGGATACAAAATATTTCTTACATATATTTTTCATATACAACTGGTATAGATACAAAATGTATATTAGGTATCTACAACAAATCTGAAATCATGTAACCAATATTATATTAATGTTGTATATATTATACATTATAATTATAGTTATACATAATAATTATATATTATTACATTATTTGTATATTTTATACAGTATGTTATCATGTCTGATACACGTATAACAGAAAGGATGCTTTTAAATTAATAAATTATTACGTATTAAGTATCTCTCTGTATATAGCAATTTGCAATACCGTAAATGTATAAAAATAAAAAACTTATTCCGTACACGGATATGTATACATATTATATACAATTATTCATATTTTTATAATAATTATTCTGTATACAGAACAACAGAACCATAATATTATAGGAAACGTAATCTTAAAACTACGGCGTTTTTTTCGTGGCAAAAGACGTTGGCAGCGCTGGCACTGTCACCGCCGTGACAACTGTTATCGTGCATACCTGCAGTAGTGTTATCACTTATCTCCCGCAATATTGTAGATGAATTTATAATGAGATCGTGAAAGTTGAATACTTTATATTTTAGTTCATTTTTGAAATAAATTGTTTAAACACTATTATTTCAGTATTTAATATTTTTATCTTCTGTCCATTAAATTCGGTGATCGGAAGTCTGTCAGCAACAAACTGAATCCTAACAATTAGCGGATAGGCGTGTTATTTTACCGCCATGTTTTGCAGAGTTCTTTCGAAAACTGGTAAGTACCTTTAATATAAGTTCTTGCACCTACTTGTGTAATGTTTGTCTGGCGGTTCAAAAAGTAATAATCGACATTTGTAATGCACTTTGCTTGTTTTGTTTCAAACATTATCGCTCAATGTACAAAAGCGGCCCAAGTGATTTGGGTACATACCTATTTTCCTGTTTTGATTTCATCACTCCATTTTTTTTATCTTCTGAGTTTTCATGCCCAAATAGGAATTGCCTGACTTAAACTTGCTGGATGACATTTCATGACTTTTTAATCTGTTGAAATTAGTGCTAATATTTTGAGGTGATTCTGTAGGTACTTATTAAAATGTATGTGTCAGATTTAAAATTTAAATGTTTGTGCACATGTATTTTTAATTAAGTATTTATTTAAATCTGAATTTGTAAGGTTTATTTTAAATAATATTATGTTTGAATGTTATTTAAAACAGTGAACATAAGTTTACTGAACTTAGTAGGTATGGCTTAACTAAAAACTGTATATCAGTTCCATCATTGTGTGTTTGTAAACCTTTAGATTATCAAGGGTTAATTATAAAGCTAGTAGATGGAATTATTATATTATTCTAATATTTTATATTTATTACAAAGCCATAATATAGGTATCCAGATCCCTAAAACTTTCATACCTTGGGCTAGCCTTTTAAAAACCATCCATGTGTATAGTTGATCAAGCATGAAACCTTTGATGTATTAAGTAGATTAATTACGATAATATTTTCAAGAATTTATTTACAATTTGAAAATTGACCCTCAAATTACCTGATATTCTAATTTCATATTAATTGATCAAAGAAAGAAGAAAACTTTTTTAATTCTTACTAAAAACTCCACAATATTTTCAAAAATAATTCTCATACCGATCAGCAATCATTTTTATTATTATATCGACTGGTATTAGGCAAAAAATTGCTAAGCGACAATAAGGGACATGGTATATACTACAATATAAACTTTTAATCCCTCAAGTGTTCTGACCATTCAATAATTGTATTTTAATTTTTCGAGAAGATCAACCTTCATCATCAGAAATACCCAAAGGTCGGCAAACCCTTCCAAAAATTGTGCAGGCTAACTGGCAACCACATGGTTTTTTCGACCCTTATAATTATTGTTATTACATTTTTTTAAGTTTTGATACAGATGCCCCGTACAATTTGTTGTTAGTTTTACTTCTTTAATTTTTAGATATTTTTTGAATGAGCATATAGAACAAGGCAGAAATTAAAGTATGCTTGAAAAAATGTATTTGGTATTTCTAGTTCTCTGCTACTGATTATATCTAACATCAATAGAAAAATATAAGTTTACCTATAAGTAACCTATCTTTAATTTAATTTTAAATATCATGTACATTTTTAACATTTTGAGAATAAGTACTGGACTTAAATTGTATTATTGTGTTAGTATTGCATTAAAAATATAAAATGTTAGAATATATTATTTAATATTTGTAACTACCTAGCCTTGTCTAGTTTATAAGATACCTTTTAAGGTTACTTTTATTTTATGTTCTTTTACCTACTCATATTTTAAATTTAGACTAGGTTAATAATATATTAAATAGACAATTCAAATAATAGAAATAAAAATTGTTTTTACCCTTATTTTTCATGAAATGTTCATAAACTTATTCTAATTAATTAACAATAAATGTAAACAAAAAACTGATTGGTGAAAATTGTACGTAGTCAGAAAAATCAAAAACATCAAATTATTGTGGTTAATACTTAAATGAAGATTTATAAATACAACTTTTAATATAAAAACTATTGAGGTAATATCCCTGGGTAATATTGATTATTGTTATAATTTCTTTCTTTTAGATGTGTCGTGATGTGTTAAGTTTTTTACTTATGTATACAAAATGGATGTCAATAAAGAATTTGATGACTTTCTGTCAAGCATGAAGAATTTCAACATAAATGTTGCATCAGAATTTTTATCAAGTATTAACTACGATATAAAACATGCTGGGGACATAATAGAGCAACTTGGAAAGGGATTAACAAATGAACATTTTAAAAGTAGACCTGAATACTTCAAATTTTGCGAAGAACAGTTACTTAAATTGGCAAATAATGAAGAATATCAAGAGCTAATTTTTGATTTTTTGGATATAATTGACATGGATGATTGTAAACTATCATCATCAGTTTTAATTGTAGTAACTGTTTTGGAGAATACCGATAATCCAAATCAAGCATCTTTAGAATATTTGTTGATGGGTACTTTTAATCGTTTATTTGAAATGGACAACACAAATTTAAAGGACATTTTGCCATCCATAATACAACTTTTAATAAAATTAAAAAAACATTTTATACTACAACAATCAATATTATATTATTTTGCCAGAGTTGCTTACTTAGTGTTGAATGCTAACATTGAACCAGTTGAGTATCTAAACTTGTTGTCTAACATAATTTATGATCCTTTTTATTTACTGGAGTATGAATTTGATGAACTTGAAGAAAAAAAAGAACTATTGTACATTGCTTCATTCTTTTATCTATACTATACAACTGGAATGCAATGGGGACCAAAAATCTACAATCGGTTTTACATCTTAGACAAATGTTGTAATTTAGCCATGTCTGTGTATGAAGACAACAATTTTGGAAAATCTTTTGCAAAATTAATTTTAACAAAATTTAAAAATAATGAAATTCCATTACATTCGTTGAATAAATGCCATGAAAATTTTTTATTAGAAGCTGCACACTGTTCCATGTATAATGAAATTCTGAAAGTTAGGAAGGAATCAATTGATTCATTGATGATATTCTTTGATAAATTATGCAATGATGCCCAGTATGTAGTTCTTAAATATGCATTTTCAAAACCATTGGAGTCTTGTATTAAAGATCAATTTATTGTTAAAATGAAAAATCTGATTATGTTAAATTTAAACTCAAATCATGATCTTGGATATTTTCAAGGAATAAGACTTTTAGAAATCATTCAATTATGTTGTAATATATCCGTTAAACCTGGATTCGATCTTCCAAACAATAAAGAACATATTTTGGGCGCTATATCACTTTTGTATTTTTTATCAGGCAATGACATTGAAAAGTTAAATATGGGCGAAGAATTTTCAAATGTAACTAAACAATTTGTAGACATCATTCAAAATGCCATTGATTATTCACATGAGCAGCACAACTTGGAACTAAAAAAATTAAATGATAATGGTTCTAGAGTAAAAAGTGAAGCAGAAATAATAGAAGATAATTTTATTTCAAAATTGTCAAACAATGAAAAGCGGGATATATTATCACTCATGAACACTACCATAATATTAGTCCAGACGAATTTGGATATGTTGAAAAGCATCATCAAAAAATAAAGATATTCCGTGTAAAACATTTAAATTTAGTAATTAGCGTGTATGTAAATTTAAGTTATCTTTATGAAAATAAATAAAATTGTTACAGGTTGTATAGTGTTAAAATTTTATAATTTTTGCCTTTCGTCTCACAATTGTTCAAAGAATTATTGCGTTCTGTTTAACGAATCAATTATAATTTAATATCATAACTGTATCGTTTTAAATAAAATGTCTTCAACTACATTAAACCACATGTATTTGAACGAGGCCACGGGAAGTGTGAGCTATTACGCTGCTAGTGGACTGACGAAACTGTACTTTTCCACGTCCAAGTCCTCTACGATAGTTCCAACGGAGTCGAATTTCCTGACTGAACCAAATGTGCCTGTCCGTGTTTATGCACCTGGAGGATGCGGTAAGCACGAACACGGTCAAACATATACGCCGATAATTTTGGTGCAGAACTAAAAAATTCTTGGGGCGTGTGTTGTACTGTACGTAGTGCCAAGCAATTTCTGTTGTGGGCACTGCTGTATAGTTAATACACCATATGGATACTATCTCTAATAATATTTTAGTTGTTTTGATTCTCTGGTAACGATGTAAAACTATTTGTGGTAATTATATAAACTACCACAACGACATAAAACGTTAAATGAAATAATTCGTATACCTACATCAGAACACATTATAATATATTATTTATAAATTTATAATACATAAATGGTATTATGTATTACCGTATATTGGAGATATTATTATATTATGTAAATTATATTTGTACGTAAAATGTATGTAATACAGAATAATAATAATATTTTAAATTCGAGTACGACTTGTTGACGTACATAATATTATAATATCTTTATAGGTAAGTATACGAGTATACCAGGTGTGACGAACCTTTGGCATGCGTGTCAGAAGTGGCACGTTGGCCAAATTTCAATGCCACGTCAAAACTAATTAAAAATGTTTTTCTTGACATATTTCATCATATTATGTCTGTATTTCATTAAATAAAATTCAACAAATAAACGCCTAATAAAATACGTATAGTAATTACTCCTTACTTTTATTTTATTCTCTATAAAAATACCTTTTTTTTGGGGGGGGGGGGGC